AGACAGCCATGCTCCTGAATGTGGTGTTTATTATTCTTTCCTGTGTCCTTACTTATCCTTTCACTCTGTCCTTATCTCCAAGCCAGATGAAGCTCAACATTGCATGTTTCTAGCCTCCATAGAAACAGGATTACGTTGCATGTGTTCTTCGGAGGCTTCCCTTTCACTCACTGTCATGTGTGTACTTCACCCAAATCGACAAGTGTAGCTGTGGTCTGTTCACTTTTGCTGCCATGTGAGATTGCATCTCTCTCTGATGAACATATACCCGTCTCTTGGCCATTTTTCCTTGGTTGGACGTGGGAGTGGCTTCTGTTTGTGTGTGTGTGTGTGTGTGTGTGATTACAGTGCTACTGTGAGCAATCCTATTCCTGTCTTCTGGTCAAGACAGCAAGAATTCCTAGGAGGGTGTATTAGTTCCTGTTGCTGCTATAACAAATCACAAAATAAGTGGCTAAAAATGACATAAATGTATTATCTTACAGTTCTGGAAGTCAGAAGTCCAAAATGGGTCTCATTGGGCCAAAATCAAGGTAGAGGTAGACCCACCCTCCCTGGAAGGAGCTGTGATGGTGTAGTGGTTAAGGCATTTGGCTGCTAATACAAAGGTTGATGGCTCAAACCCACCAGCTGTTCCACAGAAGAAAGATGAGGCAATCTGCTTCTGTAAAGATTTACAGCCTTGGAAACCCAATGGGAGTCGCTATGAGTCAGAATTGACTGGATGGCAGTGACTTTAAGTGACAGTGAGCTTAAGTGAGACCCTCCCTGGGGGGTCTCTAAGAAAGAATCCATTTCCTTGGTGCTTGAACAATTTCTCTTAGAAAGATCAGCACGAGGCTGGTCCCCATGAGGCGGAGGTCAAAGATGTTCCAAATGTCCAAACTACCATGCCACTCCATCATCTCAGACATTAACCCCTCCTCCTCCTCCCAGTAATTTCCCCAGTCTTAGGGTTCTGAATTTCACTGTAACGCCTCACAGAACTCACAGACACCCAAGGGTTCGTCTCACGTAGTGGTGGTAGAGGCTGGCAGGCTGGCGAGTCCCAGGTCCGTGAGTAGGTCTGGTGGATCCTCCCAACTCTCGGGGTTAGATGAACCTCGATCAGCAGATCAGATGGCGGCTGCTGTCCCAAATCCAGGGGTGAGATGACGATAAGCCAAGGATCAAAGCTGGAGCAAGAGGCAAGCGAATCTTCCCAGGAGATTCGTAGGTAAAACCCTCCGGGAAGCTAAGGGTGGTGATTTTTTTTTATACCCTCCAGCAAGGCAGGACTCAAGATACATTCCACTTGTGTTGTCCCAACAGAATTAACCTAAATCCCATCACAGAGTCGATTGCCAGTCATTGTAGGGAATGACTACTACCAGCTGCCCAGCCAAGTTGATACCTGACCTTAACTACCACACCACCCCAAACAGGCATGGATAATGGGATTTACGAAACACCACAGAATGGAGGACAATGGCTAGAAGGGCCACATCAAGCAATTCACTGCACTTGGCTTTTCCAGTTTCTGGAAGCTGGCTGCATTTCTCGGCTCCTGGCTCCTTCCTCTCTCTCCAAATCTCTCCCCAATGCTGGTTCTCTCATGTAAAGAGCCTCGTGGTTACTTTGGGCCCATCCAGATGAACCAGCATAACCTCTCCATCTCAGGACCCTTAATTTGATCACATTTGCAAAGTTCTTCTTGGCACATAAGGTAACATATTCACAGGTCCTGGGCACTAGGAAGTGGACATCATCGGGGCGGGGGGGGGGTATAATCCAAACATGTTTGAAATTACTCATTTGTCAAACTGCTTCCCAAAGTCAATCGATTCTCTCCCATCGGAGGTGCACAATGCTTTCTGTCGCTCCCCATCCTCACCAACACTTGATGTGATCTGACTTTTTAATTTTTGCCAACCTGACAGCTGTGAAATAAATAAATGTCTGGGCTCTGACTGCTATGTAGTTGAGAAAGAGAGGGTAGTTAATGGTGTCAAAAGAGAGGCCCTAGCAGTAAGAGGGTGGGTGGTGACCTTGGCTTCAGTGGTGCCCTTGAAGTGGTGGGAGGGGAGAAGTCAGAGGAGGTTAATGAACGGAAGGAGGGTGAGGTGATGGCCACAGCGGATAAAGGGTACTTTAAAAAACTGAACGTGAAAGGTTAGTGTCAGTCTAAAGGCAGAAATTAAAGATGTAAGAGGTACACAGACAGAAAGAGAGGGAAGGGAAGGGGTGGGACGAGGCATCTTGGAGGCACTGTGGGAGTACCTGGGCTGGCCTTGGAGTGTAAAGGTGGGAGGGGAGGCAGGCAGAGAAAACCCAAAGAGGTAGGGCAGAAAGTGGCAGACGTGTCTCCATATTAGGGAGTGTAGGAGCTCTGGTGGCATAGTGCCTAAGGCACCTGACTTCTAACCAGAAAGCTGGCGGTTCAAACCCACCAGCCATTCCTCGGAAGGAAGGTTGGGCAATCTACTTCTGTAGTGATACTGCCTCGGAAACCCAAGGAGGGGTTGCTATGAGTTAGGGTGACATGTAACAACAACAAAAACACTAGGGAGTCTGGAGGTGTGGGGAAGGTTTATAGGGGGCACTGCTGTGGGCCATTCAACAAGGGGCTCGCTGGGGCTGAACAAGGGAGACTGGAGAGAAGGAGGGGACAAGCTGAGTCAGGAGCCTTCCATCACATCTTAGAACCCCCGCTGGGGTGAAGAAGGCCCTGAGGTCAGAGGGGAGGGCCACGGGAGGGGCCACAGGGATATGTCTGGAAGACCCTGAAAGCTCAGTGGAAGGAGTGGGCCCTGAGGAGGCAGAGGAATCCCTGGGTGGTGCGAAGGGTTAACACACTTGATGGCTAACCACAAGTTTGGAGGCTCCAGTCCATCCAGAGCCTCTGAGAAGAAAGGCCACTGAAGACCTCACAGAACACACACTTCTCCTCTGACAAACAGGGGTCTCCCTGAGTCAGAATCAAGTCAACGGCAGCTGGTTTGGATGAGGCAGAGAGGAAACTGGGAGGGATGGAGGGGCTCTTGGCAGTGTGGAGAACGGTGGTGGTGGGCGTGCAGAGACTGTGGGAGCCCAGAGGACAGGGGCACACGGGTCAGGCTGGGGAGGTGGAAAGGGCTTCCGAGAGGGAGTGATTCTTCCGTGGAGTCTGTAAGGGCAAACCCAATTTCCGTGATCGTAAATACACGGAAGAAGTGTTGCCTTCACACTGTGTCAACACGCCTGATCACAGTATGTCAACAGGCCTGAGGACAGACATCTCCACCATGCCCAACATGCTCTGGTTAGATTGGGAGAGACCCTGATGGGCTCTTTTCAGCTCCTATGCCTTGGTTAGGCGCTCAGGTGGCGTAGTGCCGAAGGCACTTGTCTGCTAACCAGAAGGTTGGTGGTTCAAACCCACCAGCCACTCCTTGGAAGGAAGATTGGGCAATCTACTTCTGGAAAGATACTGTCTCAGAAACCCAAGAAGGGGTCACTTTGAGTTGGAGATGACTCGATGGCACCTAACAACAATAACCTTGGTTTATGGACTTCTCTTTGGTTCGATGATTTATCCTTCAACTTCAGAACTCCTGCTCATCCTTCAAAACCCAGCTCAAATGTCACCTCCTCTGGGAAGTCTTCCTGATTGCCCTGGTCCTACTTCTACACTTTCATATCAGCATGGTGCAGTGTAACAATTTCACTTACTGCTGTTTGATTTTAGATAACCTTTTACTTAATCTCTGAGTGTCTGCTTTCTGAGATGGGGACAGTGACCATGTCTGGCATCAGTGGGAATAACAGAGGAAGCTGTCGTGTCCTTCTGTCTAGTACTAGAGTTAGCTGGGTGAGTATATGACTCTGCCTTAATCCACGAACTGCCTGAGGGCAAGGACAATGTCCCCACAGCGACAAGCCCAGTTCCCAGCAGAGAGGCATCAGGTGACTTGTAGGCACTGCACAAATGGAAGGAATTGGGATTGTCTACCATTCACCTATAAAGGGGCTTTGGGGAAGTGACATCATCTCTGTGCACCTGTTTCTTCTCTAAATCATGCCATGTTAGGCATTCACCTACTGCTCCTTACTTTCTCAACACTCACTATCATCACCCCATTTTACAGAAGAGAAAACTGAGGCTTGGAGAAGGTGAGCGACTTGTCGAAGTCAGCAGCAGGGCAGGACTTCATGGCGCCCAGTCAAACTCGGAATATTGTGTGAAGCTGAAGTGGCAATGTGAAATAGCCCTGCAAATTGGGGTGGGAGCTTCTGTGCCGGGGGGGCGTGGTGAATGATGGCCAGGTGAAGGGGCGCGGGGAGAGACGGCTTCAGATTTCCACCTGGCGGCTGGAAGGCCGGTTTGCGATGCGACCCGGGGGTGCCGGTGGCTGCGAGCCGCGCGGCTCAGCCTGGGCGGGGAGGGGTGCGGCCTGTCCCCTCCCCGCCCCACCCCCAGCCCCA